AAAATAGGAATTTCCAAACTATATTGAACATGCAAAATATAAACTCTTGTTTGTCAATCTAAAACATACAAAATATAAACTCTCTTAAAAAATATAAACTCTCTTAAAAACATATTCAACAGAGACACTTAACATATAAACTCTTTGTTAAGACATACAAACTCTCTTAAAAAACTCTTCTAAAAAACTCTCTGTTTATAAAAACTCTCTTATAAACTCTCTTAAAACATACAAAATATAAACTCTCTTAAAATATATAAACTCTTGTTTGTCAATCTAAAACATACAAAATATCCGTAACAATGACAGAGAGACTTAACATGTAGATTAAAATACAAAATATATAACATGCAGCAGAGAGACTTAACATGTAGATATCCATACAAATAATAAAAACATATTCAGTTTGTCTTAAAGATTACAGAAAATGACTTAACTTGATTGCATTCAAATAATAAAAACATATTCAGTTCTACTTAAAGATTACAGCAACAATGGTGAAAATATAAGTAAAAAAGAAAACCAGAGTAAAACTTCAAATACCGTAACAATGGCGGAAATGCAATGCAGACGAGCAAAGGATATCGAAAACGGACGGTGAACGACGGCGAAATGCAACAGAGGAGGGCGACGGTGGGTTTATAGGGCAACGTTCTTTGTTCGCCAGAGAAAAGGAAAAAAAGAAATACGATATGACTGTTCTGTTTCTTATAAAAATTCTGGTGGATATTTTAAATTAATTCTAACTAAACCTATAGCAGCGCTTTTTAATGGCTTTAGCAGCGCTTTAAAAAGCGCTCTCAAAGATCTTCTAATGTACCACATATAGCAGCGCTTTATGGAAAAAGCGCTCTCGTAGACTAGACCTACAGCAGCGCTTTAGGAAAGCGCTTTCATAGGGCTGTCTGAGACCCCCCCTTTAGCAGCGCTTTTTAGAAGCGTTGTCTTAGGTCCCCCCTTTAGCAGCGCTTTTTCAAAAGCGCTGTCTTTGGGCTCCCCTTTAGCAGCGCTTTTCAAAAAGCGCTGTCTTTGGTAAGCAATTTTTTTCTTTTTTTTTAATGCCTCTTTAGCAGCGCTTTTTCTAAAAGCGTTGTCTTTGTATGCGCTGCTAAAAGTCAATTCTGGCGTAGTGAGAGAAAAAAAATTAACACTTGTGGAGGAGTTCTAGTGCAGGGGATCTATCTTTCAAAGAAGCATACCTTTTTCAAGCAACAATGGATCAAAACATAAGTTGGCTAAGTTCTTCTGAAGCAAGTCTACCCCCACTCTCTTAATTTGGAGAATCTTGCGCATCAAGTTTGACACATCGCAAATGTACGGTTGTGCGAAGTAGTAAAAAGAGTTATTGAATCACAAAGATCAAAGATTCGATTACCGAATTCCATTCTATCGGTGTATATTTAGAGTAACCGAAAAATTGGTGTTTTGTGAAACAACTTAAATAAAACGTAATTTTGAAAAAATAGATTAAATGAAAATCACTTAAAATATTATGAGACAAACAGGACTTAAGGTTCATTATTCATACTCTAATATATTCATATGATCCTTTCGTTTCTATTACTAAAAATCCAATACGATTAAAAAAAATAGATAAATATGGACAACACCTACTTTCGTCAGCATGCTGTCCTATCTATGGTGAACAATTCGTCTGCTTTCGCACGACCGAATTATTCTTCAAAGAGAGCAATTTCATTGTATCACATTTAATTGTTTAAAAACCTGCTTTCGTGTACCGATGCACTTCCTTTCATATTATAATCGATATTTAAAAATCTTTACTTTCATATAAGGGTTGGAATGAAAAATTCAAGTTTTAAAATAACGCGTGAATGAAATTCTCGTAATCGATTTGTGAAGGATCATATGAGCAAGCATGAGATAAGTCTTATAACCTTTAATCTATAGTGGCCACTATTCCCTCATGGTGAGAAACAATACAATTAGAGAAAAACATGATTAATCGTAAAAACATAAATTGATAATGACAAATAAAGATTAATATAACCTAATTGACAAGAAAATAATTTAAATATATAAATAATTAGGTGCTCGAATGACGACTTTAGTACAACAATACAAAAGAACTTGGAAAATAAAATACGCAATAGGTAAAACAATTAGATCCTTAAACTCAACGACTACCTATGAGTTTTATAATAAAATTTTATTAGTGGACTAAATACAATTCTTCAATATGCATAAAAATAGAAATTATCTCAAATCAAAAGATGAAAAAAAATTTCAAAACAACAATAAAAGAGCAGGAAAAAGAAAGAAAGCCGGAAAAATCTTGCCTACCTGCTGCTACAGCCCGTAACAGCTGTCACGATTATCCATAGCAAGTGCTTGCTTGATATATTGTGGAAGCGCCTTGGGTGAAAAGTGGGCATTAGCTGCTACTGCATGTAGCAACTGCTACGACCGTCCGTAGCAGTCCCTTGAAAAATATATATATATATATATATATATATAAATTCTAACTTTTTCTTTTTTTCACATTTTGCTTACTTATTAAAGTTTGAACACATCAAGAACACATTATCAAAGTATAAAACATGATAAAAGTAAATCGGACGAAAACGAAAAAATAACAAAGTAAAACAACCAGTAAAAACGATGCGAAAACTATTTATCAAACTCACCAAAATTTATATCGTTGTTTGTCCTCACACAACAAAGTTGCTTATGCAAATTTTTGGATCAAGCAGTTCAATGATGGAAAAGCTTACAAAAATCAAGTTACCAGTACTCATATATGAGTTTTCCTTCACATTGGCTAAGATCGAGTTCTCTCGGTACTCATTTGACACCAAAGATATTTACAAGGACATTAACCATAGTAAAACTACAGACCCAAGTCTTCCTTTCAAACATCGCTTCAACTATGTTTTGTACTTAAGTCTTATTTTATTTTTTTTCTTTCCTTTTTTATTCGGACAATTAAATTAAGGCATTTGAATTTATTATAATTATCACATAAGACCGATCAAAACTTTTTATTTAGAATCCAGATAGATAACAATTGCCTTTTTTTTATTTGTCGATGAAATTGCACATCTGGGTGTTTATTTATTGTCCACTTTTAAAAAAATATTTATAAGTCAATCAAAATAAGCTACTAACTCATTAAAAAAATGAGTAAAAATTCTCTCCATTTCTATTTTTAAAATCTTTTTAGTTATTATAATGTTGTGTGTATCACATATTAACATGTGATATATATTTAATACTTATTTAATTTTATAAATATAAAATTATTATGAGTTTAATAGTAGTATATTATCAATATAAAAAAGTATTACACATATATTCAATTATAATACTTTAAAGTGTCAAATCATATAAGTAATTTAAATTTTAAAAATTAATTTAGCGGAATACATAATTGTCATGACAGTATACACGGTAAGTGTACCATCATTTTCTCAATTATTATAACATAGCTCTCTATTTATTTAAAAAAATAATTATTTTTAAAGATACATGCAGATAAATTATAAAAAAAAATGTTGTCAAACAAAATTTTTGAAATTATTATTTAATATACACAATAAATAATATTTTAGTGAGTTTTTTTTTCTTCTAATTTTTAGTAGATTTATATTGCTTTTAGTTTTAGATTATTTATTTATTTGTGAAAATTCTCAATATTATTTATTTTATCAAATTATTATAAATATGATTCTAATTTAACATCCAATAATTTATTATATTAATAAATATTCTATCAACATTTTATTTAATTTTTAAAATTAGCAATTGAAATAAGAATAGAAAACTAAAATATAAGAAAATATAAGAGTATGTTTGAATAGGAAATATAAATAAAATGAAATAAAATAGAATATTAAATAATGAGATTTCATTGAATTTATATTTATATTTATAAATAATAAATGAATGGAATGAAACAATATAGAACTATTTAATCATATTCCATCAATCCTTCCATTTTTATTCTATTTAATTGTGCTGCATGCAATTAAATGAATTAATTTGTTTTGTTTCATTTCATCAAATTATAAAAATTTAAATAAATAATAAAATGAAATTTATGTTTCATTCAATTCCACTTCACTCTATTTATCTCCATGTCATTCCCCTTCACTTCATTTTATATTGTTTCATTATGTTTGGCTTCTATCTATTCTATCAATCCAAATCTATCATAAATTAATATAATAAAAAACGTCAATATTAGCGATTTAAAAATAGAATAGAAAAATTGATCAAATTCAAATTTTCGACGTCGTATTTATTTATTTTTAAAAGATAAAATTTCACCATTAAACTACTTTAAAAAAAAATTAATATATTTTTATCTCTCTACTTTAACTTTTTATTTCTCATTTAAAAAAAAGTCAACTTTTTATTCTTCAATTTAATATTTCTTGAATTTTTCTTGTCCTATTCATATTTGATTAGTTGGGACGTACATAACAAATCTAATATATAATTTTCTAACATCACATATTTAAAATTAAAAATTAATTTTTATAATATTATCAAATCTAATAGTATAAATTATTATATTTAAAAATTAATATAAATTATTTTATTTAAAAAAATTAAAAAATTTATTTTGTTTATTGAGTAAATTTATATTTTCAATTTTTTAAAATAAATATATTTATTCAATTATTTCAATTTTATTTAATACTTTTAGAACTTTTTTTCAAAAGTAAATATGCAAGTTAGAGAGATTTGAATCTTTTAGAAAAATTTTCCAAAACATTAGTCTATACTTTTGCTAGAAAAGATAATAAACCCAACATAACTATATTTCATCACCTCTCTTTTCATTTTGATTCATCATTTCCTTTGCCGAATTCATCTTAATTTGAACTTTATAATTTTTTTAAATATAACAATTTATATTATTATATTAAGTATTATTAAAAAATAAAATTACAAAAATGTATTTAAGCGAATAAAAAAAAGATAAAATGTTATGTTTGTGTTAGATTCATCATTCATCCAAAGAAGAAGAAGCAATGTTGAGAGCTTGTCAGTTACGAGTTGGGTTACCGATTCCAAAACTCTCTTCACTCTTCTCTTTCTCTTTCTCTTTTCCATCCTATTCTCACTCCCAAATCCACACTTTTTCATCTTCAAAACCCCTCCTTTTTCACTCACCTTCTTCTTCTTCTATCATGCCTCCCAAATCAACAGGTACTCATAATCATTGCAAACCCTAATTTTTTATTTTTCATTTTCTATTTTGTGATGTAATCAAGAGCTTAAAAAAATAATAAAAATTTGATTTTTAATTTTGGGTTGTTTTGTTTTTCAGCTTCGTTTAGTACTGGAGGAGGTAGTGCTGTTGAAGGTGGTGGCGAAAGGGAAATATTGGTGCAGCATTTGTTGGTGAAAGAAGATGATCAGAGACTATTGGTGGATCTTCAACTAAGAGTCGCTAAAGGTAAAAAAAAAATCTTGATTTTTTGTGGTAAATTGTTTGTATCACTGTTTGAATTGAGTTGTTTGGATACTGTCAATGTGAAGGGCTATCATAAAACCTTTAAAGTTGTGGTTCTTAATTTAGAATAAAGGTGTTTTTTTTGTTTAGAAATCTAGAAGTGTAGAATTGATTTTGGAATGATTTTGAGGTGTTTGGTTCTTCTAAAATAAAATTGGTTCTGCCTCCTGAATTGATTTTTGAAGTTAGAATTTGTAGTTTTTGAGTGTAAATGTGATGTTTACATTAAAATTTACTGGTAAACTCCGTTTTACATAAATTTATCCAAATATAAACCCCTTTACCTTCAACTAACATTTAGTTAGAATCAATTCGTTTCATTGCAGAACTAAACACAATTGACTTATATTTTTCAATGTCAGGGACTTGCTATTTTTGTTAATTTGAGGGACTAAATTGACCAATCTTTACAATTTCAAAGTCTAAAGTGATTGTTTACTGGTTAACTTCCCTAAGGCTTTCTTGTTGTTTGTTGTGTGTCCAGGTGAAGATTTAAGTGATCTTGCTGTGGATCATTCAATTTGCCCTTCTAAAGATGAAGGAGGAATGCTTGGGTGGGTTCGAAAGGGACAAATGGTATGATGTTTGGGTTTAAGTTTAATTAAACATTGTTATAGGGTTTCTCAGTTTGCATAATTTGCTATTTGTTGCCTTTTGTGCTATTTGTTACCTTTTGTGCTACTTGCATAGGTCGTTCTAGTTGGTATACATCATTGCCTTCATTGCAGCCTCCGACAATTTAATTGTGTTGGCGTGAGGTTGGCTTTAGTCTCACATTACGTAGAGACACGTAAAAAATGCTTATAAAGTTTTGGGGAATTCTTATTTTACAAACGGGTTTTATAAGGTTGAATTAAAATCAACCTAAACTCTAAATTGGTATCAGAACTTATCCCAAATTTGTTATTGGGCTGCCCTCATCATGCACGTTCCAACCCCATTGGGCATGGGTAAGAGGGTGTATATTGGAAATTCCTGATTAAATTTTGGTCCGCACCAATCTCAGTTGTAGTGTTTATGTTACTTTTCTTGCATTCTCCTTCTCCAACACCTTCATTGTGCTCGATGTGAGAGGCAGGGCTTAGTTAGACCACAAAACCCAGAGAAATGGCCTAAGTAGTGCTTAAAGTTTGAATAGTCATCATGTTACAAGCCGACCTTGAAGCGTTGTTGAGTTAGACCTCACCCAAATTCTAATAACTAACTACAATAGTACAATGGTACAATTATGTGATTGAGATTATCTCTGATGATGAAAGTTCAACAGGTTCCTGAATTTGAAGAGGCTGCGTTTAATGCACCTTTAAAAAAAGTTGTAAGATGCAAGACAAAATATGGATGGCACCTACTACAGGTTTTATCTGAAAGGTATTTCCATTTCAAGTATATGTTTTCTAAGTTGGATGGTAAATGTGTTTCGCCCCAATTTGAAATTTATTCAATATTTGGTTAAGGCTTGATAATAGTAGTAGTTATTTGTTTCATAGAAGGTTCTTAATTCTTATGCCTCACAAATTTTCGCTTTTAACTGTTAGGGAAGAATCTGTACTTAAAGACATTCAACCTAATGAGTTGCATGTGAAATTTCAAGATCCCACCTTTTTAGATGAGGCGCAGTTAATTGATGTTCGAGAGCCTGAAGAAGTGTATGCTCCTATTTTCTTCGACTTTAACTAGTTTTTGAAATTACTGAAATGCATTCTTGTATTGTATTATTTACATTTAATCATTTAATTTAATATTCGACTTTAACACATCTTGCACATTACTAACTTATTTAGGATTGTTATTAAAAAAATGAACTGCCAAACCAAATTGCACCGAAAGTACCTAACTGTTAGTGATTGATTTTGGTTTTCCTATCTTTTAATGATACTCTCATCATACACAGGGCCACAGCATCTTTGCCGGGATTTACGGTTCTTCCCCTCCGACAATTTGGAACATGGGGGCCTGAAATAAACACCAAATTTGATCCTCAAAAGGATACATATGTTCTGGTAAGTACCCTTTTTCTTGTAAAACATTTCATTTTCATTAGCAGGTTCTTGCAAAACTTGAAAGTGGAACTATTTTGTACCGGTATAATTGTATTGAGCTATATGCGAAGATAAGCTTACTAAGCCTGAAAAAAAGGGCCCATACAAAACTCATTGAGGGTAGGCAAATACCACACGCCGCCCAAAGTGGATTTCTAATCGCCAATTGATAGCAATATATGCCCATTGGTTGTAAGACTCGCCCATTGGTTGCATCACTCACTCCCTGTTGGGTTTGGGTTAAACCATCTATCACCTACTTATGAAACGTGAGGAAGACGTGTACTTGGGCAGAATAGGGGGAAGACACGTTCTCCAGAAGAATAGGAGAAGAATAGGGAAATAATGGTTTCTATGCTCTTGGAGTGATGGGTCCAAGAATCCAGACCCAATAGATCTCTATAAATACCTCAACCACGGGGTTTAGAGAGGACAGTCAATTTCACCTAAAATTCAGAGATACAAGGCTTCTCACCACTTTGCGTGAGCTTGCTCAAATACCATCAACTATCCTAAAACACTACGCATAGCCCTCCAAATACACGGTTATGCCTATTGTACGTTTTTAGCAAGTACATATTTGAATAGTGTTTTGCTTTAGCAGTTTAAGTTTGAACATTAGAATTTAGAAGCCTTTGTTTTCTGTGTTTGAACTCGTTCATCGTGAGAACTTGTAGTTTGATGTTCAATACTGAAGCTGAATAAGCTGCTTAGTTTTGTTGTTGTTGTATGCATGTTCAATAACTTGACTTTTGAATGCAGTGTCATCACGGTGCGCGGTCGTTGCAGGTTGCCAGGTGGCTGCAGTCACAGGTAAATAATTTGTGTCTGATCATCTGGCCAATTGGAACTGACATATTTCATGTAGGAAACGAAACAATCATGAATGTTTATGGTTTCAGGGGTTCAGGAAAGTATACAATATTTCCGGAGGAATCCATGCCTATGCGGTGCAGGCCGATCCATCAGTTCCTACATACTGATTCACATGATTCTGCCACTTTCCTCTTCTTGCATGCGAACAGTTTTCCATATATGAAAAGCAAGATTTTGGGAGAGGAATGTATTCAATATTGTTACAAGTCACTCTTAGGAACTCTCAACTTTTACTTGAGAGACAAGGCATGCAATGTTCCAAATATACCGAAAGAAATAGTGAATTTAGAGGCTACCTTAAATTCAAGCCAATAAATATCGAATAAACCATCAATTTAGTCCTTAAATTATGTGTTTATTTTGGATCGAAATGTTAAAGGCTTCTTGAGTCCTTGTTTCAAAATTAAGGGTACATATCAGATGCCTGCCTTTTTTGTTTCCCTCTGCAAGTAATTGTATACCTTCGTTTTCCTTCCTCTTTTGTTTCCTAATTGTTCTTCAATCATACAGAATGAAATAAAATTATAAAATTTTCATTGCGAATGATTCTTAGGAACGTCCATGAGTTAGAGTTTGATTAATTATCTCTTGTAGTGAAGAATATCCAAGTAAAAAGTAAATTGATCATGAGTGTCGCACTAACGGCAACACCCTTACTCAACCAACATGACCATAATCTACAACAAGAGAACTTTTTGCTTACAATATGAATTAGAGAGAACACAAACACTTATAATCCTAATCCAGCTAGGGTTTTAAGAATATCCAAATGAGTGAGTGATTATCAACTGAGCATAAGGGTTATATTTGTACAATCACCTATATGCATAGTGGTTTATGGTGCACAATGTTTCTCTAATGAGCAATAGTGAATTGGAAGAATATCATATGATTTGACATAACTTTAATCCTTATATCTATAGTGCACATAAGAAATATTTGGTGTCATCCTTGTATAATATTATATTTATTAATAGCTTAGTATATTTATTTCAACATGACAATGCATTTTATGTCACAATTGGTCAAGTGGTCATAGATATTACTTATGTGGGAGAGAATTTCATATAAGTCACTTGCATCCCAATAAATTGACTTTATAAATTGATTTATTACAGACAATATTTGACAGTACTAAAATGATCAACTATTTATGTAAGTATTATAATGGTATCAAATCAAAGGGATTATATACATTTATGTAGTATTTTCTTGGTGGATTAATCTCGTATAAATATTACTCCTGATGTTTATATACATGTTAAGACATATTTCTATACATGACATTTTAGATTTTGACATAAGTCTATTAACATAATGGTCTATATGCATTATTGTTGTCTCAATTGGTATTAAAATTTAACTACGTATACTTTAAGAATGACATCCTTATTATTGTAAAAGCGATGCTCAAAAAATAAAGTATGATCGGTTTCTTGATTAACAAAAAAATCACAGAGTAAAAGAAAAAAGAGAAAATTAATTCAAAGTGGTTAAAAAATTAGATTATTGGTTCAATTACACATTAAGGAACAATGTTTACAATTGAATCTCAATCACACCACTTTCTCCCTCTGATTAATATTATAAGGAATTTATCGAGAAAAGATGACTAGTATGCTATTTATAATAAAACTAAACCCTAACTTTCAACTCACATACTATACAATTGACCGAACAGTCTGACTCAGTTCGACATGCTAACTGAAACAATCAAGCTAACATATTTCGACAGTTACACTAGTTCTTCGTCTTCGACAAAGTTTGTTACAATACTAACTTATAACCCATAAACTACATTTATAATGCATATTGAAACATTTCTTGAAATAATGCATATTGAAACATCTTAACACTTTGTATATGTATGTACTATGACTTAGGGCCGGCCCCAGGGTAAGGCAACCCATGCAAAGGTTTTAGGCCTCAAAATTTTTGCTTATAAAAAGGCCTTAAAATTTTTTAATTTGGTCGTTATTACATAAAATCTCATTGTTGAGTTGGTAGAAGAGAGAACCCATATCTTTTAGATCTTTGGTTCAACTCAATATAAAATTTGATTTTATTTATTTATTTTGAATGCTTTATTTTAAAATTTTATTTAGGCATCTAAGCGAGTTGGGTTGGCCCTACTATGATTCATGTCAGTCAACCTTTGTGATCTATCTTTATAGATCCACATCCTTAATATATAGACAGTTTTTCCAAAATACTTTAAAGGAAAAAATTCGCAAATCATGTTTTAATTTGTTGCAAGGTAGGATATTGATTTCGATGAGTAATATATCTTCCACATATAACAATAAAAATAAAACCATGCTCCAATTAACCTTCTAATAAAAAGAGTTTTATGTTCATGTTCACTTAATCCAAACAGACTTCCAATCTTATAGAAAAAATTTCCAACTTTTGGAAGATTGTTTCAATCCACAAAATAGATTGATGCAACTTGCATACTTTTTTTTTGCATGCTTTAAATTTTCAAAATTTTAGGTTATGTCATGTACAGATACTCAAGGATATTTACATTAAGGAAATAAATTTTGACATTCATTTTTAATATTTAATAATCATGGTATGTAGTGATGACAAGTAAAACCTAAATAGGTTTAAGCAATGAACTTTTTGTATCATAGTTTATGCCATGAAATTTCTTGAAACCTTTTGAAACAAGTTATGTCTTATAGCTAGTCATTTTGAACCATTAAGTGTAATTTAGTCATAAGATCTCATTAAACATAAAGAAAATATTATTAAAATATTCATAATCAAGTTTTATTGTGAAGTGGGATAACAGTAAAACATTGAAATTATCATATAGATAGGCTAATGATCACATCTCATGAATCATGAATAAAGTGTTATTAAATATTCGCATAGGTATGAATGTTAGAAGTAATATTTATACTAGATTGACCCACCATGAGAATACTACATAGAGTATTATGCAAGTTTTATAAGTTATTCTCAAGGTGATAGTGGTGTATACCACCGTTTGACCTGAAACCACAATGGACCCTAGATGTTGAGTCAAGTTATTTATTACTAATCAAACATTGTTCGTAACAGGATGACGATAAAGATGGTTAACAGGTACTCCACAAATCATGTTGAGGGACATGAGTGACCTAGATGAAATTTGCCCATCATGTGTAACATGATTTATGACTAAAGGTCCAATATTGAATTGGACAAAAGTGACACAATCTATGCCTTGTGTTTAATGTAGACATGAGGGGAAATGGTAATTGTACACACAAACATTATCACAAAAGGTTTTTTCATATCACATGACATTTTTGTGACTTAGATAGCAGTAATGTGTTGCTCGATACCACTAATTTTTTGTTATGTTAAATATGTGATTTAATATAACTGTCAAGGTCACAAGAACCTGTAGGGTTACTGTTAGCTTGAGAACTTTAGCTTGACATTTTGATATGAATGTGTGATGTAAGATATATAAAAATGATTAGTGTAGATAAACAGGTCATATTTTTGACATCAAGTCACATACTCGATATGTTAACTTTTTTTACAGTTATGGTTGAATGACTTAAAGACATTTTCAACAGCAGTGGCTGCTTAAAGCAGTTCAAGTGCCAAGGACACGTGGAAAATAAACCGGAAGACGAAACCCCACATAGCAGTATATGTGTTGAGATTTGAAGAGTTGGTTGTTGATAGTGTACCTAGTATATAAGAAAATTTTGTCTTTGTAGTCAAGGGTCACATTTCATTTTGTTCTCTTTAGAAATCTTACATTTGATTCACTAAGATAATGCATTTGTGAGAAATATATGAACTTGATTCCATTTTTGATTCATGTATTTCAATTACTATATTTTTGTTTAATTATCTACTTGATTTTGTCAATCTAAGTACTTTTATTGTGTTTCTTTTATTATTTATATTACAAATCTTTTCAGCACAATTACATTTTCTCAAACTTTTTAACACAAAGTTTCACTTAGCATTTTCAAGTTTGATCCTACAAGTTAACTATAACTCGTGATTGTTTAAAAAAAACACCAGTAAACAAATTGACACGCCCAGTGGGTCGACTTTTGTGCAAAAAATAAACTTTTGCAGAGAGTGTATGTGTTTTATTTTTGTTTTATGTTCTTCACGCATTCAAATTATTTTAATCGTTGAGTGTTTATGCATCTGAGGAGTGGCAAGTTCGTTAATATGTCTCATCAATCGTCAAAGAGTTCATCCCCTTAAGGAGTTCCTCCTCCCCATAATGGCACTCTAAATGCAGAAGAAAATTCAATCGGAACGATGGTTGGTGGTGCAAACACTTCAACAATTGTTGGAGTAACTGCTTTGTCGTGAATCAAACATTAGTTTTGACTACAACACCCAAGGCGCTGATATCTCCACCATAACCAATAAGTTATCTTGTTACTCCCATGGTTACACCGACCATTATAGGAGGTATTAGGCCTTCATTCCTTCCAGGCTTCATATTTCTCCTTGGTGGTATGGAGTATCCATATGCCATACCAACTGCATTGATGGTAGACCTACAAACTAACATGATGAGTATGCAGATAATGTAATGGCTATTGCATCTCTTGTTAATTAATACATGGAGTCGGGATCTGCCATAAATAACTCTAGTCGAATGGATAAACCCTATGGAGGATTAGGATATATCCCTCAGTTTATACCTTCTTTAATTCATAATTATCTCTTGGCTATAAGGCAACTAATGGATGACAATAACCATGACATGTGTTGTACCTCGAAAAATGAGAACAACCTCTCGAAGCACAATCACACGCTCACTGGATGGACTTAACGGAGTCGAAAGAATGTTTAGATAGGGTCGAAAGAATGTTAGCTTATATTAAATTCTAATCTTCTATTTATTGAATGGGAAGAGAGAGAGAGAGAGAGAGAGAGAGAGAGAGAGAGAGAGAGAGAGAGAGAGAGAGAGAGAGAGAGAGAGAGAGAGAGAGAGAGAGAGAGAGAGAGAGAGAGAGAGAGAGAGAGAGAGAGAGAGAGAGAAGAAATGTTTTTTTAAAAATATTTTTATTAAAGAGAAATGACCTAAAAAGGTTTTCATTATTAAGGGGTCTGACAAGATTTCACAATCTTG